AATAGAAAAATGGAAACAAAGCTTTTGTAAATGAGGGGAACAGGGGATGGAGGGAGGGGAGGCAAATGAGAAAAAAAGAAGCAAGCAGGTACAAATTCCTTATGATATAATCATTATGTACATCTAAAATGTATCAAAACTTTTAAAAATACACACACAAAAGCACTTGGCCATACAATCTTAAATAATCTTCACAACATGAGGTAGGTGTCATCACTCCACATTAAAGATAGGAAAAACTGAGGCTTGGACACGTACAAAGTCTAATAAGTAAAAAGTAGTCTTACTGCAGGCAGACTGGCCTCCATTTTTTTATACTGCCTTCAAGGACAAAGAGCTCCAACTGCTAATAAGTTTGAAAAAGGCTAGGACATGCAATTATACACAGGCCTCTTGAGCAATTTTTCTTCTTCCACAGTTAGCACTTGGTATTCTATAGTTAGCATATCTTCTCACCTGTGAAGTTTGGCATGTTTACAGGGTACAGTAAGCAAAGACATGAGGGTGCATGTTCCTGTACAACTGCCTCATTAACTTACAGCTGTAGTTTTGTTTTTGTTTTTGTTTTGTTTTTTTTAATACTGGGAATCGAACTCAGGACCTTGCACTTGCCAGGCAGGCACTTGTGCCACTGAGCTACATCCCCAGCTCTGCCTCATTAACTTACATTCACTCTTCCATTTCAGGAGTAACTAGCACATATCAGTAGTTTTCTAACAGTCCTCTATTAAGTCCTACAGAGATTCCTGAGTAGGAAGAAAGGAACTAGGGTTACCCAAAACCTCATAACAAGTAGAACAGCTTCTTAACTGCTTTCCACACTGGGGAGTTATTCTTTAAGAAAAGATTTTAAAGCTTAAAAAAAAAAAGCAGTTAATGAAAACCACTGTGGTACATATATGCATACCACTCACTTTCCTCACAGTAGGTTTTTAACTCTTTATAGATTAGAGCTGGGCATGGTGGCCCATGCCTATAATCCCAGCACTTGGGAGGCTGAGGCAGGAGGAGCATTGAAAGTTCAAGACCACCTGGGCTACAAAGTGAGCTCAAGGCCAGCCCGAACTGCATAGCGAGAGACCCTGTCTCAAAAAGACAAAAAAAAGTAAAATAAATAAATAAATAAATAAATAAATAAATACAAGCATAAGTCAGGCATGGTAGTGCATGCCTATAATTTCAGCACTTGGGAGACTGAGGCTGGAGGATTGCTATGAGTTCAAGACCAGCCCAGGCTACCCAAAATAAAATAAAATAAATACAAGCACAGAAATGTCCATATGTCTAGCAACAGATGAATAGGTAACGAAAATGTAGTATTTATACACAACAGAGTGCTACTCTGCCATAAAGAAAAACTGTAGGAAAATGGATGCACCTTGAAACCATAACATTAAATGAAATAAGACATACAAGCTTAAGTATCTCAAGGCTTCCCTTACATTGGTTTCCTTACATGAGAAACCCAAGATATAAATAAAGAGCAAAATAAAAAAATAATAGGAGGTAGGGAGACAGATCTTTTTCACATGGGAAGGTGATCAAAAAATGCAGCAGGAAGGGAGTGGAGGGAAAGGGAATAAGAAAAGGAATCATGATGTGTTATATACACACAGCAACTCCACACAGGGCAGGTAAGCATGTATCATGGAAGAGATGAAATTGGGACAACTTGTTGGATAATAACCTATTAAAATTCCTTAGAAAGTCTAATTGTATTATGTTGCCCTTTCACACTTAACAAACTTCAAAATAAAAAAAGCTACCTCTAAAAAAAGCAAAAAAAGTGAAGAAAGAAATGCCAGCGGGAGTCCTCACTCTATATGTGGTTTATGAGTTTTCTTATTTTTCCAGACTCAATTAAGTCATCTTGGCCATCCCCATTTGGTAAAGTAGGCACAATAATCGCACACTGAGAACAAGTATCTCATTTCAGATGACAGGGTCAGAAATGAAGGCCCAACCCAGGCGGCTTAGCCTACTAGGTAGTTACTAGTTTTAAAGGCTCTCTTGTCATTGGGCACTCCACACACTGTGACCTGAAGGTACAGGTGTCCCTACTTTTTTTTTTTGAGACAGGGTCTCGCTATGCAGTCTGGGCTGGCCTCAAGCTTGCGGTGATCCTCCTGTCTCAGTCTCCCAAGTGCTGGGATTACAGGCATGTAATCACCACCCCAGCTAGGTGTCCCCACTTGTACCACATGCCAACACTTGAGCTAGCTATAAGCCAATGTTGTCTGGAACTTGTCCCAGCTCAAGGATAAAGATTAGCCTCTCTTCCTCCTATGCTCCAGGCTATACCTTGGTTCTCTTGATGACAAATCATGTCCAAAGACAACATATGGCACAGTTCAAAATCTGACATATGAAACAGAAGATCTGGGTTCAAATCTTAGTCTACCTTCTTGGTACGGCCAACACTCAGGCTATGAGAAGTGAGCTACTGGCCTCAACTCATGCCTCAACCCACTGGGCCTCATTGTCTTTTTTTTTTCTTTTCCGGTACTGGGAATCAAACTTACGACCTTGCGCTTGCCAGGCAGGCGCTGTGCTGCTGAGCTAAATCCCCAGCTCATCTCATTGTCTTCATTTAACACCGTGTTTACCTCATAGGCCAGTGATGACAAATGTATGGCACACATGCCAAGGCTACTAAGTATATTAAAAGAGTAAAGTATACAGTAGTTTCCATCATGCAGATTACAGACCCCTTGGCAAAGTTGACCAAATTATAAGAGGCCCAAAAAAAAAAAAAAAAAAATTATAAGAGGCCTGAATAGGTGTATACTAGATAAAAAGGATCATTTAGGGATTAAGACTGAAAGTCACAGAGTAAAATTATCTGGGTTCAAAAATAGCATTATCACTTGTACAAATTATTTAGCCTTTCTATGTCTCAGTTCCTCACCTGTAATTGGGGAAAACAGAATGTTATTGGGTTGCACTGAGGTTCAATTGAGCCTATATATGTAAAGTGTTTAAAACATTAAGAAACAAATAAATGTTACTATAATATGTATCTGTTATTCTTTCAAAGCACAACAATTACTTTATAGGTATCTACTGTGCTTTTTATTTTAAAAGTATTGTTATTCTTGAAAAGGCAAAAAACTTCTAAGTTATAAAGGAAATCTAGTACACTGCCCACCTTATCCTAAAACAGAATAATTAAGTCTATGATTTCATTCTTTTTAAATTTATGGAGGTTTTTGTGGCCCTAACATAGTCTATTCTGCAGAACGGCCCATGTGTACTTGGGAAGAATATGTATTCTGCTGTTGCTGGGTAGAGTATTCTTTGTATGTCTGTTAAGCCTAACTGGTTTGTAGGATTGTTCAAGTCCTCTACTACTTTAATGATCTTCTGTCTGGCTGTCTACTCACTACTGAAAGTGGGGTACTAAAATCTCCATCTACTATTTATAGGACTACTTTTACCTTCAATTCTGTAAAATTTGCTTCACATGATTTGGGCCTCCTTTGTTAATCACAAATATAACTGTTACATCTTCTTGGTGTATTGAACTTTAATTAATGTATGCTATACTTTGTATCTTGTAACCTTTTTAAATTTAAGTCAATATCCACTCTACCTTTCTTTTGGTTGCCATCTGCATAAAATATTCTTTGTGTACTTTTCATTCCTTTGTGTCTTTATATCTGAGATTCTTGTACCCCAGCTTATCAATGGATTAAGGGTAAGGAGTTAAAATCCAATCTGCTGATCTGCTCTTTATTGGCATAATTTAACCAACTTATATTTGTATTTAATTACTGATAAGGAAGAATTTATTTGTGCCACTTAGCTATTTGTTTTCTGTATATCATCTACTTTTCTCATTTCTTCTATTACAACTTTACTGGTTTTGTTTTTGTGTTAATATAGATTAGTGGAATCTACATCCTATTTTAAGGTTTCCTCATCAAGTGATCTTCCCTCTTCTAACTGAACAGCTTCAGATGAATATCTACTTCATGAATCTATTCTACAATTTTTAAATGGGAGCACCTTTTTTCTGGCTATGAAAATAATCTCATGTTTTATCATTATTTTCACCCACTGAATAATTCACTATTTTGACAGACAGACAGACAGACAGACACACACACACACACACACACACACACACACACACACTTAGACTATTCACCATACCACATGAAAAGTTCATTGCCGTTTTTCTCTGCCTACCTGTGGCCCAGCATTAGGCTGGGCCCTGGAATACTTTGGGTCTCTTGATAACTGACAAAGAAGTGACAGGCAAAGTGGCTTACATTGTAGGAGCGGGGATGCCTTTGCTTCCACTGCACCAAGAGCAGCTGAGCCACCACCAAGGTCGCGATGAGGATGAGGACCATTTCAGCATGCATGGCTTCATGGCCACGATGTTTGGCATGCATGCGCGCATGTTCAACCCTGAAAGCCAAACAGAAAGGGTGAGCCAGGTCAGGGATGGCATGGTGGCAAAGAAGAAGTGTTTCCCAGGAATACCCTGCCAATCTGTAGCTCAAACTACGCTCCTGTGCTTCATAACTGAAAGGTACCATCCATACAAATTAGGGCTAGAAGGACACATACCCTACATGACCAGCATTTGGGGGCAGAATAGAGGCTCTATGGACCCAGCAACAAAACTCCCCCACAGGATTAGAGATGGATGGTCTATTGCTTGTCTCTCGTGACAGAAACCTCTAATGCCCTTCTTGTACCAAGAAAGAAAAGCCTATGTCACTGCCCATTTCAATCCTGTTTCAACCTGTCACCAGAAGGAGAAAGTAATCACAGAGCTAAAGGCCATAAAGCCTTAAGAATCTTAGTCTACGATATTTATGACACCAAAAGTGCAAATGTGTGCTGATTCCAGGGTTAAATTTTTGCTTTATTCATCCTACCCTCTTTGCCACAGAGACCTTAAACGTGGTTAAAAGCTGAAAAATCTGGACTGCTTCAACTTTTACAACAGTGACTTCATCAGCATCCACAAGTAAATACTGTCGTCTCCTCAAGGGCTCAAGGTAGTTCAGTAAGTAGGCAATGTACCTGAGAGCTTTTTATAGATCGAAGGCTGGCCTTCTCTGGTCTTGAGGACTGGCAGCTAGTGACTCACTCAGCCAATGCTGCCAAAATCTTCCTCCAAGAACAGTCATCCTACCTCTCTGGGTCAGTCAGCCAAGGGTGAAGAATGAGGAAGAAGTTAGAAAACTGAATCTAAAGCAGCCTGCAGTCAGGAGCCTTTATACAAATTCCTCATATACAAGAGCAGTGACGGCAAACCTTTTAGACCTTTCAACAACAAACAGCCCACTGTGGCATGTGTGACAGACATTTGCCATCACTGCACTAAGAGTATTAGGGAGGAAAAAGACAGCATGAATGATGTCTTCATGGAATTCCTAAGGGCAACAAAAAGAATTTATTCCCAGTGGAATAAATTATGAGTAGATAAATGATAAAGCAAATATAGCAAGAAATTAATAGTAGAATCTAGGTGATAGGTAAAAGGGTATTCAATATATAATTCTTCTAATTTTGTATGTAATTAAAATTTTTCATAAAAAAATGTTAGGAACTTAGTGGGCAAAATACACAGCCAAACATCAATCAGTTAGCCTCAGCACCTAAGATTTCATCTTACACAAAACCACACTGGGTGGAAGAAAAATAGAATCAGGAGTCAGAAACTTAGGCTCAGACTCACCTATAGGCCCTTGGCCAAGAAATCTTACATCTTTCTACTATTTCTACACATGTCAAAAGGAGGATGTATCTGTTCCCCCTGCCTCACACAGTTGGTGTAAGGGTAGGCTAAGCTAAAAGGGTAGCAAATACTTAAGAAAACCTTAACGCTGGATGTGAAAGTAATCCCAGTAATCCCAGCTACTTGGAGGCTGAGGCAGGAAGATCACAAGTTTGAGTTCAGCCTGCAAAACTTAGTGAGACCCTGTCTCAAGGGAAAAAAAAAAAAAAAGGCTGGAATGTAGCTCAGGGGTAGAGAATTTCTCTAGCATACATGACGTCCTGAATTTAATCACTATAAGGAAGGTCACTACTATAAGGAAGGGAAGAGAAAAACAGAAAAGGAGAGGAGAGGAAAGGAGAGGAGAGGAGAGGACAGGAGAGGACAGGACAGGACAGGACAGGAGAGGACAGGACAGGAGAGGAGAGGACAGGAGAGGAGAGGAGAGGAGAGGACAGGAGAGGACAGGACAGGAGAGGAGAGGAGAGGACAGGAGAGGAGAGGA